GCAAAATCATAAGGACAAAAGTCAAAACATTATTTAGGATATATTTATGGATAGGTTTAGGATAAGTTTATACTTTTTGGCTTAACGAATGAATGAAAATAAAATCATCTAATTCTCAAACATTTTTAAATAATTTATATGTTTATGTATTAATTTAATTGCAGGTATTAAAATTAATATTTGGGCCATTACGAGAAAAGTTCAAAACATTATTTAAAAGGATATATTTGATTATTTATGGCGGGCGGTATAAGCTAAAAATTAGATGAGCCTCCTGCCCGATTGCCTCCTATAGGTTTATAATTTTAAATTAAGTCTATGCTTGACAAATGATATATTAGATATTCTGACTTCTAAAAATCAGCGTGAAATATTTTGATTCACTTATATAATAGATTTATCCAATTGAGGATTATTCAATATATGTATTATATAATATATTATATATAACTTTTTGAGTTTTTGAAGCGTACACAAACCAACATAACATTTTTAAATATATTACATATGAATTCCACATACAACATGCAAAATAACGTCTGAAATTCTCCTCTGAAACGAATTCCATACATAACCAACTAGGAATGAATAGGTTGGTATTCAAGATGTTCGGACGTCGTTAAACGAGTCGAGTTTAAATGGAGACCTCAGTGAATGGTAATGAGAACCGTGTCTGAGCAACCTTTGCATATGCTTAGATGGTTGAGTGGTGTGCATATGTAAAATGTATTTGAAAATTCTGCAACAACTTTCGTAATCTAATATATAAAATTCTCGTGTCGCGGTGTTTGTAGTTAAACTCCTCCGAAACGGCTTGACCGATTCTCATGAAATTTTGTGTGCATATTGGGTATGTCTGAGAATCGGACAACATCTATTTTTCATCGCCCTAAATTTTAACCCCTAATTTTTTTTTAATTTTTAGATAATTTTTTTTTAAAGATACTGCATTAAAAATACACACAACCCCTAATTTTCACCCCTCTATGATCAACCCCATATTTTTTATTATATATGATATACATACAAAACGACGTTTGCCGGATCAGCTAGTAATAATATAGTTATTACGCTTGACAAATCCTAAGTCTTGATAGACACGGTTGAAACAGAGGAGCAGTCTCGATGGAGATTTTGCTCTGAACGCCTAACAGATCAACACATATGCTCATTGTCTAGCTGACTGATTGCAAGATAAAGACTTAAAAAAAAATTACTTACGCTTACTCTCTTCCGAAAATTATATCCTTGAGGTCCCATCTCATAACTCCTCCTTGGCGAATCCTTTAAGGTCTCTGCAGTTAGGCTATGGAATTCACTTCCCGTCCCTATTCGCTTAGCTCCTTCTCTATCTTCTTTTAAATTTCTTCTGTACAAAGTACAAACATTACCTGTCCACATCGTACTTTCGTACTAATTACTAACTTACGAGAGACTGATCTTAAATTAAATTATCATGATTCACACTTTATTTTTCATGTATCCTTTATTAGTTTAGTTTGTTTAGTTTTTTTTCTTAGTAACTATATGTAATATGTATTTTTGCACTTATTGCCTACCTTATCCAATTTAATATTTTTTTTTCTTTTCTCATTCGCGATCGTTCGAAAGCGATAAGGCCGCCAGTTTCCCTCCTTTTCATTCAATTCAATTTGTATATTGTAATGCAACGAAGTGTTAATAAATAACTAAATAAATAAACGCCTTTAAAAAGGCACTTGTTGACACGCACCACCATTATGTGAAACTAGTTACCTCTTGAAATATTTTCGAACTAATTCGACAGTATCAAAGACCTCCCGAAATCCATTTATATCGTCCTTCACTTGGCCTGTGGCCGTGAGGCCCGTGTGCAACAGTCTACCAAAATTGAGTTACTTTGTCCTGACCTAAAGTAAACAGTTACCAAATATAATAATCATAATTTATTGGCAAGAATATGGTACAAAAATATTAGTACAACCTAAACTTCGCATATTCTGCCACTTATAATGGCGTACAAATTTGTCTTACTTAATTAGAATGTAGAATTTATATAGTAGTTACATATTACATTACATTATCAATAATATTATCAAAGTCATTTTTATATTGTTGTATCACTACATTATTAAAATTAATTCCATTATCAAATAAATATTAATAATTATAATGTTTCACTTAAATTAATAGAATAATATTGTTTTTCCAAAGTATATTATTATTAAGTAGGTCGAAGATACGAATGTTTTTGATAAATTATTATTACCTAAACTTGATTGCCATACAATAAGTGTTTTTCCTATAGTCTATAGTATACTATTCGATATGAATTTTTGCCATACTACTACCCCATGTCTACTTCGGCAGTTGTCCATTCACATTGACTTTTTTTTTTTTTTTTAAACGACAATTCACACCAATTGACCTAGTCCCATGCTAAGCTGGTGAAGCTTGTGTTATGGGTACTAGGCAACGGATATACATACATATTATACATAGATAGACATATAAATACATATTTAAACACCCAAGACCTAAGCACAACATCAAATGCTCATCACATCGATGTTCGTCTCAGCCTGGGATCGAACCCGGGACCCATGGTTTCGCAGTCAGGGGTACTAACCACTAGACCAATGAGTCGTCATTTTAATATTTATGTTTTAGTGAATTTTGTTGTACATAAAAAAGTGAAAACTGCTGTGACCCAAAATCCCAACGGTTCTCATTTCGCACAGACTAATAGCCAATGTACATATTGCTAAAGGATATTTATTGAGATCATCGTCATGTTATGGAAGTATGTATTTGTATAGAAACTGTAATGGCAAAATTGCTATCAATTTTTTAAGAATCCCTCCCCGTATGCGACAATATATTCACAATTGTTCCATGTGCCGCGTACGAACATGAATTATCTGCGTAATTCGCCAATGTACCGGGTTTTAGGTAACTACAATACAATTTATGAAGTTGTGGTCATTTTCCACCTTACCAAAGAGAATGTAAGAAAATATTTTAAGAAGCGGGAATCCTTAACTTAATTTAGAATTCTAGTTCTTCGAATTCTTTTTTTAACAGCAGCAACATTTTTTTCTAAAGTTCTTGTTTGAGTCATGTTTAATTTCAGTTTACCTTTTTTATCTATCTATTACTTGACTGTTATCTGTTTCGTACATTTTGTTTATCGATGTATTCTGTTTTGGCTTATATAGTGTAAGTGGTTTCTTTTATAATATATATATAATATGTGTAGCTGTAAGATTACTTATAAATAAATAAACACTTACAAACGGAATAACTGCATATGGAATGCACGTTACTTAATAAAATCTCCGTACATCTCGTAAGACGTCGCATCATTAGGATAGTCGCTGGTCCTTGCATAATAGTATGCAAAGTAGATTCTGAATGCACGCGGTCCGCTTTGATCTGTGCCTTAGCTTTGGAGCGTGTAGATATGGACTAAATTATCTTTAAATGACCATTTTAATCTAATTCAATTTTAAAAGTTTTGCGACCGGATCTGTTGAGCCAAAATTGCTCCAAATAATTCGGGATGCTATCCGTAGAATTTTAATAATAACGACTGTGGTAAGCAAGATTATTTTATAAATACGTACAAGTAAAATTAAGAGAAACAAGAAAGCAAAGGTTAAGTTTATTATGTTTATGATAGTGATACTATATAAATGGGAAACATTAATAGACAATTTATTTATTTACACTTTATTACCTACAAAAACATACATATAAAAAAGCAGGTTACATAAGTTATAAAGCAACGGGTGGCCTTATCTCTAACAAGCGATTTCTCCCAGGCAACCCTAATATGGAACAATAAAAATGAAACACCTACAGAGGGTAAAGTACAAGAATTAGTGCATAAAAATTAACAAAAAGAAAACTCAAAACAACATGTAACTAAAATAAAATAAAGTAAAATCTAAAAATAAATGTATAAACTAAAATTTAAAAGCCAATCAAAAGGTTTACTGAGTCACAATGAATATAATATATAAGTAGTAGCTAATTACGAGGCAGAAAAATTATCAAAAAGAAGATTTTAAATAAATTTAACTTGACTGAGCTCGTCTTATATCAATAATGGTAAGGAAGACAATATTTTTTCTTATCATAGATAAACTACAAAAAATACTGTTTACTGTATAAAAATGCACTTAACATAAATATTTGATTTTGTTTGTATTTGCCTGAAAACTGTGAAACTGGTAATAAACTGGGTCAGGGATATGTTGTTTAAATGTAAGTGTCACGTATTAAATGTATTTCTTTTAAATATGCGATGTTTGTATTATTGAAGTCATTTCCGTAAGTTTCCTTTCAGTCTAATAACAATGGTTGTGGACTGATTTTTCATTAATTACAGGAGTTGTGGAGGAGTGATCAAGCGTTTGAGGCCGTTCACGCGCCACGCGAGAGAAGCCTCGCTTGCCTCGTGGCTTCGACGCGTGCCCGCTCGTGGAAGACGGCCGCAGAGCCACGAGATAATGACATGAGAACATAGCTTAGAAAAATAGCTAGTCTATATAGTTATGGTTTGTCATGCGTTAAGATTCAGATAGATGTATTAACAGAAATACCATTAATTTAATTATAGTCTGTTAAATTAAACCTATGATTTACTTTTAAAATTTAGTTTTTATTTTAAATAAAAAACAATCTCTATAACTATTTTTAGTGTTATTTATCAAACCTACACTGAAGACTGTAATCTGTGGGTAATTTTATATAAAAACTTTATCTAATAATTAAAAAGAATGATTAATGCTTTTTCGAATTTGGAACGCATACCCAAGCTGCAATTTGTTGGCTGTGGCATTACGACGCCCGCCGGTCGTGAGCTGCAAAATGCATTTGCAAAGTAGCTTCAAAATTCAGTCGCGCGCCGAAGCTTGCACGTGACAGACGTGTGACTAGATTAACCGTAAACTTTACGTGAGATGCAGTGATTAGGTAGAATAAACATTCGTGAATTGGTGACAATTATTGACATTATGGTGACTGGTGTGGCTGGCACGCAGGCTCATCCTGCAAACATGAGCTCAAATAGCGACCAGAAAAAAGGAGACAATAGAAGAGTGAGTAGTTTATTAATTTTTTTTAATTCTTATTTTAAAAAATTATGCGTTACGTAAATATTTTACAATGTGTTAAGTTAAAATATAATTAAATTAATTTTTATTCTATCAGCAATGCTCCCAATTATGCATACATTGTTTTATCTTATTGTTACTAATTTATAGTTTATTTTGGTTCAATCCAGGGGCAGTTTATTTTCATTGTATATTATAGATAAACTTATTTTAAATGTCGCGCCCGAAACATATATAATTTAGAATAGTGATCACAAACTACACTTTTGTTTAATTTAACCGAAGCAGATTCAGCCAATAATCAATTAAGACTTAAAATTTAGGAATGTCCAAATTATACCGTCTTTGAATTTAGTAACTAACCAGTATTTAATACAAAAAATCTTCCATAGATGATATAAATATTCATTCGATTTGCGTCAGAGCTTGCAATAGTACCTACTGGTTATTGTTGTCTAGTTATTATCTAGTCATTGGGTAATAGGTAGTACATGTACATCAACATCCGCGTCTTCAGTTCCGTGTTATAAATATTTTGATAAAACAAATGGAGGATAAAAACTGTATTCAAAAATACGCAAATGATTTTTTGTAATAACAATTTGTTACTTGTGGCACGTCTTGTGTCCATATAAATATTGCTATCCTAATAATAATATGTACACAAGGGTAAAAGTATTTATTCATACAAATCAATCCATTCAATATGGTTTTGAGGAATGGTAATCATTGATCAAAATAGTAATACATTATAAATATTTTCGGTCTTCAGTAGGTATTCAATAAAATTAGTTCCATAAGATTTATGGAACATTTACAAGTGTTAGACAACCCTACGCATAAAGTTTTTAACACAAAGAAACAATTAGTACCTAATCACGAGTAAACGTGAGGTTGACTTGGAAACGCGTGCGTCTGCGCCTTGTTCATGTTAAATGCTTAGGTACTTATTACATGTAGAAAATCATTTGAACACGTTGAGATAAAGAATAGTTAGTTATGGAGAACAATTTTCCTAGAATTTGAATACCTTATTAGGTGGGCTGAAAAGTTCGTAGGCATAGAAACAATATTCTTTTCGATAGAATTTAATTTAATTATTCAATATAGTTTCCACTTTCCTTCGAGAGCGGTACAACGATTATAGCTGTCATCGAATTATTCGAGGCTAGGCTTTAGTTTCGGCGATTACATGTTCATCAGCGCATAATTAATGTCCTGTCTAATAACTCATGTATTAATATTATGTACATATATCGTAACCATTTAATATCTAAATCGTGCAGTCAATATTAAAGTTAGGCTTTACTAAATTCTTTATACTTAGGAGTGGTGTCTCGCTTCGCCAAAAATATTTGATTTTTATGAACTGTATCAATTAGGACCGTTCTTTTATTAATATAGAAACTTCAAACTAAAGTAGTAGTACTAGAGTCAGGGCTGTTTATAGAACTTTTCCGAACTAATACTAGAAACGGCAAATACAAAGAGAGCTTAATAATAATTTAATATAAAGTTAATTTGAATAATTGTTATGACTTCTTCTTTTCTACGTGAGCAGATTAGAGCTAGTAAGTAGTAGATACTAGATATTTGTGTGTTGGATTTACAATATTCTTAACCTACATAGTAATAATAATAATAAATAAACAGAATTAAAACAAATTTAAATAGTTTGGTCCCGGTGGCAGTGTACCATTAATAATGCCAGCATTTCCTCACTGTATTGCGATACTTATTCGTTGAGCGAGGAAACTATCAAGTACATTCCTAAGTAAAAATTTAGATAAAATTTTCAATTAGTAACGTTTAATTTTTTTTAATTTCTTGATATTTCATGCGTCAGAAAAGAATTCCAGTGAATCATGTCTTTGCCTTTGCTAACTAATATAGTAAAATGATTTTTATCTTGAATAGTTTAATGATTCACTCGAATGAAAAACGCTGTGAAAATGAAGCTGGGACTTGCTTAGTCATAAGTTTCTTCCTTATTGCTAAATTACTTAGTTGCTTGAGCTAATGAAGATGATATTTTCACCAATTATGATTTATTGTACATAATAAAGAATATTTTTAAACAAATTTCTTAAAAACTAAAAAGCATTGCACAGCTAAAAAATTGTTGCATAACATACGGCTTTATTGCATAATGCAATCTCTTCCAGGCAAAGCTAGCCAGGGCAGGCCGCTTTGAACCGTAGTTTAAAAACTTAGTACTCATTATCGTACTATAATTACTACCTATTAAATGTTTTGTCTTTGTCACTCTCATGTCACTGCGAATGTGACATAAGGTGACAAAACATTATTTAGTTCGGACGTATAGATCTAGTTGTACTTGTACATTTTTTTAACTGATCAAAAATCCCCAAGGAGGTTTACAATTCGAGTCTGATAATTTGTTTAACTACTAGTCTGTGCCCGAAGAGAACCGTCGTGGGATTTCACGTCGCAGCGTTCCTTAATATGCCTTTTTATGTTGATAACACTCTTACTTCATTGTAGTTCTTCGGTAGTTCTGGATGTTTATTATGAAAATAATAAATTAATTTGTGAATAAATTATTTGACGACGTCGCATAGTTCCCATAGCCAGTTCTGTCTGAAGAATTTTTTATATTACGAAACTTTGATTCACTAATGACCGATCTTTAAATCGTACCACTAATTAGTGGATTCCAATAAAAGCGGTAAAGAATTAAATGTATTTTGTTAGAGTGCCAGAGCTAATAGACCTCACCTACTTTAATAGTAATAAACGAGTGTGGCAACTGGGAACGTGTTTTGTAATATTATGTAATTTTCTATTATAAAATAATGTTTTTTGATTAATATTATAATATACTATTTATCTGGTACCATAAGCCATACGGAATAGGTAGAACGACAATTTACTTTTATTGTCTATGAATAGACTAAAGGCCTTTTTATCTGTAGATGAAAAATACGCTGTAAGTACGCTCTTGACTCCCATACTCCCATAATCCCCGACTTATATATTCATTGAAATAAAAACTTATAATAAACCTAATAAGAGGTAGTATGTAAGATATACTCAAACGTTATTTTTCGACAATAGAAAAATAAATTTAGTGACAACAGAATACAATTAATAAAACACCACAGATCACTTTTAGCACAGATAATCAAAAGGTAATAATCTCAAGGGCCCATGAAATTGTTGGCCTTGCCAGCCCTGAAGCGCCAGACAATCATGATTCACGCCGCGTGGGTGGACGGAGTGGGCACCCGGTACCCGTAGGCTAATTGACGTGGGAACAGTCGCCCACTATGAACGTTGAATTATGTGTGGCCGATCGGAATGGTAGCCATGTTGTGGAATTAGAAGCGCATAGAATCTTCAAACCTGTTTCTGAGTCGGTTAATTTAGGAATACTTTTGAGTATCCTACCAACTGTACGCTGTCAGTATCTAAAAGGAGAAAGCATAGATTTTCTTTAGCAACCCGTATAGTTTATATGTATTATTGTATGGTTTGTTCAGTAGTGTTTCCGTTTGGTTTTATACGTCTACAAAGGGCTGTTAAAAAAATTGTTATATGAGTATTCGATTCTACCTATTGTTCGTGTACAATATTTGAATTAGGAACTGTAGTCCTTAAGAGCCACGCAATGCACGGATAATAAGATATGTGCTTGAAATATTTAAGGTGAGGCGCACTCGAGTGCGGCGCGTCAAAGATTACAGAGTCACCGCAGTCGCATGCGCCTACGCACCTTATCGCCCGCCCACTATGATGACAGGCTACTACTGAGAATGAAATTGAATCGATACTCCACTTAACAAAATTTTAATTATTCAAAAGTGATCATAGTTTAGTAACAACTTTTACGTTTTCTAACGGTAGATGATTATTACACGTTGCATACATGAGCACGTAATCCTTTTCTCTGAGTTCTAAGTTGTGCTGTACGGACAATACATAGATTATGAATATAATTGTTGTTACACATAGTTATGGATATAGTCATTAGCGGGCGTTGGTGCGAATCGTGAGCGTGCCGGAAACTGCTCCCACGCATTGGCACGCGCGCCCGCATACATCGGGAGGGCAAGCTATATTGTGCCAATTTACTGAATACTTGCTTTGAGGGTGACCATTTAATGCATAGCGCCATAGTCTCCAATTTTTCATAGCTGTAAGACGCCTCTGTCTGTCTGTGTATTCATTCAGTGGTCGCTCAAATAGAATCAATATATATTCTTGCTCAATATTTAAAAAATTGAATTTATTGAAATTTTATAAAAATATTTAATTGATTTATAAAATTTCATTTTTTATATTTGGAATGATTTTTTTAATGATTCATTATGTTTTCTATCAGAACAGATACAATATTGTAATTCGATGTTTAATTGTGAGAAGTGGGTATAAATTGTGCAATTGATTATATCTTGGCACTGTTTCTGCTGTGAATATTTTTGGATTCAGCTATTAGTTTTAAATGTGTTTGCCTAGGTCAGGGTAGCCCTTTTGGTACGTTCTATTTTTTATTAAAAAAACATATCTCTCTGCTGTAATCTAATGTTATTACATCTTTAAAATATTCCTTGTTGTCAATAGTTTTTTTTCCAAAACACGGCCTATATATCCCGTCTAACTATATAAGGATTAGTTATAACTTAAAACTAAGATTTCTCCTCTGTTTGTAGATCTAATAAATACGTAAATAAATAATTAAAATAAATTAAATTAATGTACATGTATATAAACTATACTATCTTACACTGGGTGTGTGCCAACTTGTGGAAAATAACCAGTTGAAAGTGACCCCTGAAATAGCTTACAGATTCAATTATGTCTCTGTGTTTAATATTCAGATATTTATGAAACAATTCAATGAAATCTTACGATTATATCAAACACTAGTTAGCGTATCACTCTCAAAATCTAATACGTTTGACATACGGTTACATAATTCGGGGCAAGTCTCAACAATGAATCTTATTCTTTCACATAAAAAGCAAAGCATAGTCTTTGAAAAGCAGTCTTGGAAAGCATAGTCTAAGGGTAATAATTTGCGGATATAAACTAAGATATACGCGTACAGATGTCGGGAAGCGGCTATGTTAAGATATTTAAAATAGAGTTAGTATCATGTATGTATCTGTAAATATAAATAATATTTATATATCTGTATCTGTAAATATAAATAATATTTATTTGTTATAAATAATATTTGAATGCCAGAAAAGACAATTACTTGATTTTCGAGAGAAGTAGTATGTGGTCTTAAAACTGTTATTTGAGTATTTATCGCAATACAGCGAGGAAGTGCCATCATTAAAGGTACACTGCCAAACTTTTCAAATTTGTTTTAATTTTCTATTAATCAATTTTTAATTATTATTACTATGTATATTAAGAATTGTAAATACTGTATATTAGTGTGATGCTGTTTGACGGTAACATACATATTCCCTTGTATATGTGTCACCGGGCACCACCGGAGATTGAATAGTGATCGTAGACACGTGTGCCAGACGGCGCCGGTATTTAATTCCGTACGGGTTACCTTGCCAAGTGTTACGTAAAACGTCTGAATATCTATACATAATATATTTATATATATATATAGCTCTGTTCTGGTAATATACTAAATGAAATCCCTGTTTCATAATTTGCCTCAAATAAGTAGGTATTAAATGTTTTGTCTATCATGTTACCTGCTGGAGCCTAGGGCGGCAAATTTGGGATCCGATTTTTTTGCCACCTATAGGAATCAAACAGATTTTAACGTTTTCTGATGTTTTACAGATAGAAAATCTGCAACAAATTGTAGCGATTACTCTTCCCTCTCACTTATCATTGTACATTTGGTGTAGCAAACTTCCATATTCTAAAGTAAAACAGCTAGTACGCCCCCCAGCAGTAATCCACCTCCAATTGCTGAAAATGTATTTCCCTCTTCCCCCTATCAACTTATACACGTCAGACCAGTAGTAACTGGTTGGAGGCTGCGAACTGGATGGTATAATTTTGTGATAAAAAATCAAAAACCAAAAATTATTTTACGTCCAAATGCAAAGAAATTGTTGGATTGTAAAAATTTAGGATGTGACAATTGTAGAGGCGAGGGCGGCACAAAATTTACAGCCTCTACTTTGAAAATTTGTAAATCCGACACTGCACTGAATTAATATTTATCTACGCCAAATTTGATCAAAAATTAAATCGGAATATAATGAAAATAATGCCTAGACGTGCTTAATTGTATTTATTCTAGCACAAATCAGCAAGTTTAACTCGGGCAATCCGTAGTGTGACTAAAGCGTTTGATAACTTGCTACAAGGCACGTGCCAAACTCAAAGACGTCACAAGGTCGTTTATGCTATTTAACTCAGCCTACATGACAAAGCCATATACGTCACTCTCTAGATAACTCATTAGTTAAACATACATTGGTAGACTTTGATTTGATTCAGTAATTATACATATATTTCTATATAATATATTTTCTTTTTGCCTCGTAATTAGCTCTGCTTATATACACTAATTATTGTGACATAGTTAACCTTTTGATTGGCTTTAAAATTTTACTATATATATATTTTAATTTATGACTATTGTATTCTTTTTCTTACGATTTTACTTTATTTTAGTTATAGTTACGTGTGATTTTGAGTTTTTTTTGTTAATTATTTTTGCATTTCTTGTACACTACCCTCTTTAGGTGTTTCTTTTTCATTGTTCTACATTAGGGTTGCCTGGAAGAAATCACTTGTTAGCGATAAGGCCGCCCGTTGCCTTATAACTTTTGTAACCTGTTTTTTTATTTATTTTTTATGTTTAAGGTAATGAAGTATAAATTAATAAATTAATTACGTATAGGACGTTATCACGTTTTCACGTTGTCCCTCAATCTTTGAATTTCTTTTTGCGAACAATGGTTTAGGAGTTAATTTTCTCATGCAAAAACAAATACACAATATTTTTTGTCACAAATGCTTTCCTGTTTAATAGATAATTGAAATAAACATAAATCATATTGTTTTTATTTTAATAGCGCCTGCTTAAAAGTCATCATAATTATTATTGTATTATCTTGGTGTATTTCATCGTTTGTGACAAGCATCAGTTTGTTCCTGCACTTGCAGCCTGCAGGCATAACAGACTGGCAAAATGAATAATTTTTGTATTTTATAATATCGTGTTCGCTTCATGTTATCTCAATGCCACAAGATGTGAGATTTGCATATAACTTGACAGCACAATGCGATTTTAAATACAATATACAATTTAAGTCTAGCCTTATTTGATGTGTAAATAATGAGCAAGGTTTTCGCATTAATGGACTAAATGTCATCTTAATTAAATCGTACATTAACAATTGACAATTTACATCGAATGCGTTGAAATTAATAGTTCTTCATTCAGACGAACTACCACGCTATTGGTGTTTTATAAGTCGCCTTATCTTAGGTGTTTTCAATAAAGGAAGAGCGAATTTCTTACATCCATGGATTAATAGGTAATGAAGTCACGTGTCTCCCGCGTGACTGAATGTCACGTCCAGTGAATCGACCTTCACCTTGACCAGCGCACGCGTCGTGATCATTGCTAATGTCTTCGGCGTGAGGCGTCACGCGTGTCTCGATAATCTTGCAGACTTCAGTTGCTAATTAATATAAAACTGTTGAATGAGATGGAATTGTAATAAAGTTTTGTTGTCTATCTATTGCCCTGGTTCTATAAATGCACTAACTGCAAATAGTCGGTATAAATAATGCAGGCCGACACATAAGGAGTGACTAGTAACATTATAACTGAAGTACATGAGTGTCAATCAAACGCAAATTGAATGAGTTGCAATATTAACATTTCCAATATACAATTTGCTGGAGACTTAACGAATTACTTTTGTTACAGAGCAACAAGCCGATAATGGAAAAAAGGCGTCGCGCGCGCATCAATAATTGTCTCAACGAGCTCAAGGCGCTGATCCTCGATGCGATGAAAAAAGACGTAAGTATTTACTTGTCTCATAAAAAGCACTTTGCCTTACTGCTCGTAATGGCTGACGCGTTTGAAATTACCGTGAAATTCTTAACTGATTCTTTATTACAGCCCGCCAGGCATTCGAAGCTTGAGAAGGCCGACATTCTGGAGATGACGGTGAAGCATTTGGAAGGTTTGCGAACAGAAGGCACCGGATCACCTGACAGGTTCAAGGCGGGATATCGTCATTGTGTATCTGAGGTTGCGAAATTCCCGGGTCTTGAGACTGGGTTGAAGAGGCGCTTAGTGAGACACTTGGAAGGATGTGTTAATACAACAGGACCCAGACCCGCTGCGGCGCCCACTCCTCCTTCTGATGTCGAAGATGTTAATCCTCCACAGCACTCGGCTATTTTCATCTCAGGTATTTCATTGGGTTTATTTTTATTGTCTCCTTACAATTTCTTTGGAATGTCAACTTACGTGTTTCAAATGTTGTCTATCTCCTCAGTAGTAGTAGCTATGGCATCAAACGATATATCTGCCTTAGGTTCTTTGATATCGAACTTATTCGAACAAACACCCCCTAATAATTGTAGGCATATAACATATAACGCTTTTTTAATATCATTTCTATTTCTCGCAGATCTCTCTTTTTAAACTACACAACTTATTTTGCATATCCCACTTTTACTTATGTTTGAAATATAGATTTTAAATGAGATATTAATTTAAGCAGGTGCCGGTTCTGGTGTACGCTTGGTGCCCACGCGTCTACCCAATGGAGACATCGCTCTGGTCCTACCAGCTGGAGTCAACGCTGGTACCCTAAGCGCCGTACCTTCACTTGTACCATTGTCGCCTCGAGGTGCATCATCAGCCGCTTCAGAGCCGCGCTGTTTCTCCCCCGATAGCTCAGGCTGGGATACACCCCCACCACCTACAGAGGAATCATCACCTTTAGCGTTAGTTACTCGAAGACCTGCTGAAGAAAAGCCTTGGAGACCCTGGTGACACTCCCTTCATTCCTTTGCCTTATCTGTGATACATAATAATTAAAGTATAGTAGCTTAATCTGATCTGACCAAATTTTCGCCTGCTTCTACTGTCTTTAATATGAAATAATTCTAAACCATGAGCATAGCTTTACGATCATGATGTGGTGCCACATTGAATGCTCTGTATTTTACAGTATTTTACAACACCATAAATTAAGTTGTGGCGGCCATTGTGACCCAGGTCAGATCATTTTAGCGCTGTAAGACATATTATAATAACTTGTTTGTGGTTTATGAGTGATCGAAAGTTCCTATTAATTAATTCGTGGTCAGTTGAATTAGTTTCGCCATTTAGGTAGGTCTTCCCTTAGGTTAAGTTTGTAAAGTTTTGTGTATGACATCTATGGCAGTATTTCACAGAGAGGGACGATTGTGTCCAATATATTAAATCATATGTTGCACTTAGTGCCATATTATATTAGATTGTGAATGTTAAATTAATAGAGCACGCATTCTTTGTATAACCTAATTATAATTTATTAACTATACGACCTGTAAATTCGACTTTGAATATTCAAATCTGTGCATCACCGGCTTATTTTTCTATATAATAACACTAGCATTGTGGGGAAAAACATCGGACCGGACAACCGGACATTGAATGCCTACGTCATCCAACCAGCGCCGGTAGTATGTGATTCCCAATAAGATCGTGAACCCAACGTCAATGTTTAGTTTTTGTACAAATCAGTACGGAAATAACTACATCGAAATTGCATACAAATGCGTCAGGTTCGATATCGCGATTGAAAGGCATCGACCAGGGCATCGACAGCGTGGTGCATTGTTGCCTAATAAGCCTCTTAAACGCTGTTGAATATTATTAAAAAATTCACCTAAACTATTGAACTGATTATAATAGATACGGTATACATATTGGCAGGGCTTTTTTGTTACTTAGGGCCCGGCATATCTCGAATCTCTCTTGTTTGTTTGAATAATTTTGATCTATTAATATGTCTTAAATTTTTTGTAATGATTACCAAATATTTATTATTTTATATTATAATTATAATAGAGAAGATAATTATCTAACATTTATCATTAAAAATATTCCGTTAACAGGTAATGGTAATTTAGAGATACTATTAACTAGATATAAAACATTGTATTTAATTATTTAACTAAGAATTCTGCGTGCCTTAAAAATAAACAGCAAAGTCATAGTCTTCCATTATAATTTAAGCTACGAGATAAATATTATGCTCGTATATAACAAATTAGTGTATAAAGAATATGTTTAGCGATAACTAACATATTTTTTAGTTTATAGTGTTAAAATAGTTATATTCGTACGTACTTATTGTTACCAAGACATCTTTACCTGGCCGGAAATCCAATTAAACCATTTAATCGAATCGTAAGTTTAAAAATATATAAGTAAAAATCTGAAGATTTCGCATAATTATGAATCAACAAGTTCTGTGTATTTTTTTAATTGCATTCGCGATTTTATAACCATTTCGATTTAATTGTAAAAAATAAACGTCGATAAATGTCAATTTTGTTATTAAACGTTTTTGTATTATAAATGTGTGCATAAAATACCTACCTACCTGTAGTTTTATTATTACTTTATAAATGTAAGAAGTGATATTATAATAAGTTTACTCATAAGTACGAAAAGACATGTAATATACATTTAAAATCATTATGATCTTCTTTTATTATCTCCACCCAAAGTTTATTTTTGAAAGGAAATTGAAGGGCGTCTATTTAAATAATAACTTTTAAGGCAATAAGCCTTCATAATCTGTAAAAATGATTGTTACGTCGGGAATCGAATTATGGATCTCCAAGACAGTAACTCATCACGAAGACGGTGATGCATAGTTACATGGGCATCATGAGAATATGATTATTATTCATTACTTACTGCTCAAGGATTGATAATAATTGGCTCAAAATTGTTGTTGTTTCTTTGTATTCTTTTATCTTGTTTTTGAGTTAATTATAGGTATATATGTCGCAGCCAACTAGCTTAATTAGCCATTCGACCAACAGCCGAGCCCCTTAACTAAACAGCGCCGTTTAACTAGTGGCCTGAAAGATATTCAGCCAGTTGATCAAACAGCTAGGCAGATGACTTGGATCAATGAAGTTTCATTACTTGCCTAGCCTGTTCACTGTTAATTTAAATTTAGTTCTACTTTCTGGCATTCTCAAACTCGAAACGAAACTCTTCAAACTGTAAATATGGAGTCGGCAAACTACAACATTGATGGTGTTTTTCAAAATTAAATGAAAAACAACAAGTTCAATGGAAGAGTGTAGTGACAATAATAATGTGAATTTAGCTGTGACTGACTCTAGCAATGTCATTTTTAAAGAAATATTTATTCTTTCAGTTTTGCCACACGGTATATCTATCGTACGAATGACCTTAGCATTAGTCAGCCAGTTTATTAAATGTTCTTGCAAACGCTACAGCTGAATATCTTTCAGGCCGCTAGTTAAACCGCGCTGTTTAGTTAGTTAGTTAGGCTATTAATTGAACGGCTTATAAAGCTAGTTGGCTACGACATATACATGCTTCTGTATAAAAAAAAAACTTTGTAACAGAAATAAAGATTTTATAACCATAAAATTTTAGTATTGGTCCGATAGCATGTATTTTATAAAAACTTTAGTTAATACCTATATTTCTATCATAGATTTGCCTAGTATCACGTGTGCCTACCTATGTTAGTTTATGTCGTGCATTCTAATTTGTTAGTCAAATAAATAGGTTCTGGAGCTCAGGAGACTAGCTGGACTTTCCAATGACGGTGATGCATCAAGGTTAAGACGCAAAAGCCGGAGATTAGCGCCATTGATTTTTTATTTCTCCGGTTATCTGTGCCACAAAATGCCCGCGAGTTGGCGGTGTATGGACTGTGGCTAGAGGTAACATTAAATATGAATTAGAGTAAAAGTAGATGTAATGAAAGAAAGGAATACCTGTAAAATATTAGAATGCTGTCAAACGCTATCCGGTCACAGCATGTCTTAAATTCGTTCCTTTTTTCTGTTATCAAATTCTGCTGTTGCATTACTTATATACTTATTGTTTTACTACTAAAAACCTTAAGGAACAAGAATATAATGAAACCCATTCTTGTTCTTCTATTATTTTACATATAAAGCATTCACGTGTATAATATTCTCTAGTAAAATAACGCGCTTCCCGCTGTTAACATTTTCGCGTAGGCTGTAATAAATTAAATAAATCAAATGTTTTAAGAGATTAACGCCCGTACTTATGCTATTATGTATCGCCACTATATTTAACTTTTGAATAGAAATAAAGTCGATATTCAGCTTATATTTCAAAATATATATGGAAAATTGTTTAAGAACCTTATACAATTTTTGAGTAAAGAAAAAAAGTGTCGCTACAACCCTTAGTATTCTCCTCAGGTTTCTGTATCTGTTTCGTGATAATTTGTATAATCAAATGTAATTAGCCTTTCTGTCCCTATTGGTGCCAACCGAGGATGGACCCAAGTTTATCTAACCCATCAGTAGGCCAAGAAAGCTCTAAACAATTTGAACACGCATTTTAAAAGACTTTTTCTTTTACCGCACGCAAACTTTTTTGTTTAAAAGGCTATAAAATAACGAAGAGGTACCAACAACGCAAACCCATTTAGATTATTATCTCCGATATCAGTTCAGCGTGTTTAATTCAAAGCCTACATGAATTGAGCGCGCTCATGCACAATGTATGGATCACGAATAGCCTTATTGTATGTAGGTCGTGATGTGAAGAAAAAACCTGAATCTGTACATGGATACTGCTTATTTAGCTTAAAGGCACTTTCAAAATTACATAAATCGAACATAAAAAGAAATTAACTTACATTGAACTACATACTATATTTTTTATATATATTAACTGTATATTATATAATAATAATAATAGATAGACTTTTACATTGAAACACGTTACTATTAAAATCTTTTTTTAGGTATCTGTGTGCCCTTATCTGACAAAGGTCTCTTCCAAATCCCGCCATTCCTCTCTGCACTGTGTCACTCTCTACCATGTACCTGTCTTTTCTTTAGCTTGGCTTCCACCTTTTAAGTTGTCTTCCTCTTCTTCGTTTGCTGTACCTTGGGCACCAGTTTAGTACTTTTTTGCTCCAGTTTTCTGTTCCTCTTGCCATGTGCCTCGCCTATTTCCACTTAAGTTTATTTATTTTTATTGTAACATCTGTTACCTTAGTTGTTTTTCGCTGTATATAAGCTGTATTCTTTATTTTGTCTATTATTTTCTTTAAATCCCAAATTATATTATATATTAATTGACAAATGATAAAATTCATAAATAACTAGCTGAACGACATATCTTATTAGATTTAAGTTTATAGATATTTTATCTAAAAAATTACAATAATAGCTTGTATGAGATTTCAATGTAACTTACAATCTATTTATGTTCCTATGTGCGCTGTGCCTGTGGCCGAGTACACTCACCAAATACCCTCAGTATATACACAATATGTATTGCTAAGGGTCGATTCGACCAAACAAGAGTAAATCTTAATCTTAGAATAAATCGTCAGTTAATCGAGAGTAAATCAATTTTACGTTTTACCATCTACAAATTCTAAGAATAGTGGGCCTATTCGGGGATTATTACTATACCGCCGTTTCGCACGGAATAACAGCTATTCCTAGAATAATTAAATGGCGTCAGTCAGTCCAATTAGCTGATTTCTGTCATTTCACAAATATGTATTCTGTGTTTTAATTTCAAGTCAACCCAATGTACTAAATTAATAGTCTGGCATTGTATAATGAAACGTTTAAACAATTTATTATTTATTTATTTATTTGTAGATTTTTTATTTTCTATAATACTATAATGAAATTCAACTACGCTCAACAGAAGTTCCTTTTTAGACGAAAGCCTCAAACAAACAACAAATAAAAACTTTTTGTTGGCGTTTGACACCTGTTAAAAGCTACTTT